TTTCCCTTTGGCTATGAAATGCTCTCAGCATTTCCTATGTTTGCACTTCTTGTACTTACTAATATATATTTGTCAAATCCAGTGGACGTGCTGTAGTCCTTATTGCTCTGGACATCCTTGTTGTGTCTGATGCAGCTTATCCACTCTCTTCTCGTTAAGGGTCCTTGGCTTCTAGAAGGGATGGTCCATGCCTCTGGTTTTCCTGCTGCTTTTCTGTCTTCTATCTCCTTTGTGCAATTGCCCTCCTTTACTCAGCCCTTGCTGTTGAAGTTCAGTTCTGGAGTAATGCTCGTCTCTTCTCACATACTCTGGCTTCAGGGCTTCATCCACTCCCTGAGTCTTCATCACCATCGATGTGCCGTGACCCCCCAGTTCTCTGCCTTACACTGCAGCCTGGTGTGCAGCATCTGCTGGTCATCACATGTACATCTGAAAAGCTCCTTAATTGCATGGGGGCTGAACGCACCACCTTTCCTCCGAAGTCTCCCCTTTCTCCCATCTTCAGAGACTATATTGCATGGTGGTGAAGGTTGGTGCTTTGGAATCAGACAGATCTGGATTCTGACACTCACTGATATTTGATCTTGAATGTATCATTTAATTCCCGAAACTCAGAGTCTTCCTTTTTAAAATGGGGATAGAAATAGTACCTATCTCAGAAGGTTCTTAGGAAGTAGACCCTAATATATCCATATGGTGCCTGGTTCAGAATAAGAGGGCAATACGTGTTTGCTTCTACTGGTGGTATTCTCTTTTAGTTACCCTCATCCATCGAGTCATCCTTAATACCTGCGTTCTTTAGCTCCTATATTCCAACCAGTCTCCCAGTGTGTCTGATTTCTGATTACCATTTATTTCCTAGTCCTGGAAATTTCTGAGTTTCTTCTTCTCTTGATTCTGACTACCACTGCCTCCATGCAGGTCCTCATTATTGCTCCCCAAGATGAGGTCACAGTCTCCTGCTTTCTTTTTGTTCCTGCAAGTCCAGTCTGCTACCAGGTGGCCTCTCTGTTTAACAGGACCTCTCCCCTGGTTAAAGCCCTCTGGTGACTCCCGTTACGTGTAAATCAAAGGCCAAGCTCCTTAACATGGTATCCCTGGTGTCTCATGGCCTTTGGTGGCCTTTTAGCTTATTTCTCCCCACTCCCTGACTCCAGCTCTATTCACGAGCAAAAATATCCTGCTCCGTTTCCTACGCATGCCATGCTGTTTAGGCTCTTTCTCACGTTTATTATCCACACTACTTGGAATGCTCCCTTCCCTGCTTTTGCCTTACTACCTCCTTCTTCTGAGGACTCCCCTCAGTTGCCACCTCCTCCAGGAAGCCTTCCCTGCCTGACTCTCTGATGATAGGTTAGGTCCTCTTCCACAGAATCCTGTTATTCTCTGAACTCATCATGCACTTACCAGGTTGGATCATGGTCTATTTATGGTCTTTCCTACCAACATAAATCCTGAAGGGCAGACACTATGTATCATTCAACTTTATATTTTTTGTATCTAGCTCGATGCTTGGCATGTCGTAGGGACTTCTGAAATGTTTGTTAGATGAATGACTGAATTCAAAGACGAGCAAACCTCCCGATGACCTTGTTTTTCTGGTTTGTGTGGACTACAGTGTTCTGGGGCAGGACTGGGTTTCAGCAGTTCAAGCCATGGCTGGGCAGCCACGACAGAAGTAGATACGCTCATATACCTTCCTTGGAGTTCCTCGTCCTAGATGACAGCCCTGGAGTGAGACTGTCAACTCACTAGTGTCAGAGCCTGAAAATTATTCCTGTGAAGAATAAAGTGTGTCACATTATTGGCTTAATTTTTTTCCAGAGAAAACTTTAATATTTTAAAACCTATGGTAATATTAACGCTTTCTATTTGCATGAGAACTTCCCTGATGAAAGATACCACAGGTGTAAAGTTTTCTGAGTCGTGTTACACCACGGTGGAACTACTTTCCATCGATATAGAGATAGAGAACATGTATACTGTGAGACAGAACTTCTTTAGAGATGGAAAATAGACTGACCTACTTTAGCAGCTGATTGTTTCCTAATTTTCTGTTTGAAAAAGATGACAGCCGAACACTGAAAAGCTTAGGACATTTTAGAACTCTGCTGCCCAATACAGTGGCCACTAGCCACATGTGGCTGCTTAAATTTCAATTGAATTAAAATTTAAAAATTCAGTTCTTCAATCATGTTAGCCACACTTCAAGTTCTCAGTAGCCACATATGACTTGTGGCTACCATATTGGGCATCTCAGATATAAAACATTTCCTTCTCTCCCGTTGCGGAGCACAGGCTCTGGACGCGCAGGCTCAGCGGCCATGGCTCACGGGCCCAGCCGCTCCGCGGCACATGGGATCTTCCCAGACCGGGGCACGAACCCGTGTCCCCTGAATCGGCAGGCGGACTCTCAACCACTGCCCCACCAGGGAAGCCCAGACACACTGCTTTTGAATGTGAAAGTCTTGATGGATAATCTCAAAACCACCTAACCACAGAGGGAGTTTTACAGAGCTATGAAACAAGAATTTTTACTGGGTACACCATATAATTGCTGTGTCATTTTATATAGTATATATAGCATTATATCTCCTTATCATTTGAACTTGTCTATATCTTCAGAGACAACGATATTCAGACACCAAATGTTATATTTTCTGTCTGGAAATGTTTTCTTATACAACTCAAAGAGGAAAATGAAGAATGTGGGTTGAATAAATGGAATTATTTTTCTTTGCTTCACATTATCAGAAAAACTCACAGGCTAAAATACATCCTGGAACTAAATATTTACATTTCTTAAAGAATGCCATCTCTGTGAGAGTGTGTGTGTGTGTGTGTGTGTGTGTGTGTGTGAGAGAGAGAGAGAGAGAGAGAGAGAGAGAGTGTGTGTGTGTGTGTGTGTGTGTGTGTGTGTTGGATGAAAGGGAAACAAATGATCTGTATTTTTGTATAATATAAAAACACTTAAAAAATTAAAAGCAAATGAAAGCAAGATCTTCTACTTTCTTTTGTTTTCTTCCATATTTGCCTTATCCACTTGGATTCTGGTGGCCTGAGGAATTTAAGAAGTAAGCATAGGCTTAGTTCAACTGGAACCATGCTAAGAAGCTCTAGCTATCTTGTAGTGCCAGGGAACTCACTAGAATATTTCACTGTGGAGCAGCAACTTTTTACACTGAATACCTTGGATGCCAGTACTGTTGAGGGATGGGAGGGATTGGAACGATCGTTCCGAAGGAATAAAAGTGACAGACCTGTACAGTTCATCTCACACACACAGATTCACGCATGACTGCCGTGCACAGGGAAGTATGGTCTGAGGAGTCATTCCGTGATTAAAGACCCCAGGAGACCATAGGTGACTCCCATCTGGATGGCTTCTGACACCCAGTTCAGAGGCTGCAGCAGGTAGGATATTTTTTGGATTACAGAGAGCTGTGATTTCATATTAGCAGCTTGTTTCCCCACCCCACCCTGTTTAAAACAGTGCTTGGGGACATTCTTCCGCTTAACATTTTTTGAGAGGAGGGATGTGAGCTTGAGGGTAAAGGGCACCGAATTCTACTTTGACCTTCCTGTACCTTCGTCTTCTTAGGGTGCCTCCTTATTGAGGGAGAGAATAGAGGGCATGTAAGTGTGGAAAAGTTTGTAAGAGAATGAAGGGCGAAGGGTATTTGTCCTAGATAATAATCACAGTGGTTATAGTATAGGCAAAGTGGGTTCCCGACCAACGTTACAAGTTTATTTTACCAATGAACTTTTACTTCCCAGTGAAACATTAGAATTTCCGGCAGTTAATTATTTGTGGACTTCGTTCATGGTTTTTCTAAAACTTTCAACTCTGTCTCCCTTCATCACAATGGGGCTCAATTTTATACCCTTTATGTCCCCTTTTGAAAAGAGGCAGTATAGCCTAGTGTTACAAACGTGGGCTTTGCAGCAGATAGATGGGGGATGGAAACCCATGGTCACTGCTTGGACAAGTTATTTAAATTTCCAAGCCTTAATTTTATAACCTGTAAAATGGGAATAATAATGCTTACCTCACAGGCAAGAGAAGGACATTTTCATGTGTGGAATACAAAATTAAGTCAAGTTGACTCATTTTCAGAAAGACCTTTGAAAATTAATAAACATGCCATATTTCTTGATCATTTTTATGGTTGTTTGGTCAGTTTCTTTGAGTTTTACCACATGTATTCACTTAGTGTTATAAAAGTATAAGGAGAAAGGGCTCTCAGTGAAATTAGACAGTCTCAGAATCTGTCCTACTATTAGGGAATTAATCAGAAAATAAAATTGAATGTGCTCAAAAGGATCTATTCCTTTTAAGGCAACTCACTGTATTATTTAAAAGAAAACAAAGGGGCCAAGGGAAATGAGAAAACTAGGAAATTCAAAGGAAGTTCATTTTTTTAAAAAAGCCCTTGATTATTTGAACTTTTTCTTGTTTTGAGGAATATCATTGTTCACTGATTTCAATCCAGCCTAAGAGAAATAAAGAATCCACCTTATCCTCTGGAGAGTTTTTGAGGACAGACTACTCAGTTTTGAGTGATCACAAACATTATCACAGACTTACAAAAGTCAGGATTCATGTGACTCTGACACAGAGGAGGTGGAATAATCAAGTGTTCCTCCCATGAACACTATGCAGCGATCATCACAGAAGGAAATGAAGTTCCCTTTTCCTTAATGCCTGGGCTGCTTGGGCCAGCATTACTGAAGATGTGTGTCCTGTTGAAACTACAACGTGTGTTGATGACCCTCTTTGCACCCGATACTGGGCTAATTCCC